CCCCGCCCGCCGCGCCTCCCCGGGCGCCCGCATTAAAGCGCATATGCAAGCCATGAATTATCAACTGAAAGGAGTCAATTACCGGCTCTAAAAACGAGTGTCTGCGCCCGCAGCGCCCGGGGCCATCCGCCTATTTACGGAGCGATTTCCCCCGCCCGGCTGGGGAGCGCGCTTCGGGCGGGAGAGAGTCGGAGCAACCGAGCCCGAGACCGGGAGGGAGAGGGACGGGGAGAGGGACGGAGGGATTGGGAGCCAGAGACCGCAGAGCAGGGAGCCCGAAAGTGGGCCGGGAAGGAGAGACAGACAGACGCAGCAGACACACCGGGAGCGCGAAGAGGGCGAAGGCAGCTCCTGTCTTCTCTCGGTAGAGCAGGGGTGAGAGGTGAGGTCCTCGGGACCTTCAAATCCCTGGGCCCCCTCCTTGGGTGTCTGAGTAAGGATCCAGGCCCCGGGAAGGGAGGCCCCTAGACTGGAAGTCTTGGGCCAGATATGGGGCTCTGGAGAGAACAGAGTGGAAAGCCAGGGGGCAGTAGTTTGCAGAGGTGCCAGGTCATCTTGGCAGCAAACTGGAGAGCAGACTGCTTTGTTGTCCAGTGTGGAAGTGAAGAATGACCAGGAGGAAAGGGAGGAGGTGTGAGGAACAGGGACAAGGTGAGGATGGAGGCTGATATGGGGGTGTGTTTATGATCCCTCAACAATGAGAGAGAAATGGCAAAACCAACCCTAGTAGGCATAGGAGGTCCTGTCTGCCACTATTCCCACTGCTCACACCCACCCAAGCCACTCATTCCTTGATACTGGGCCTCCCTAGATTCTGCACCTGCCTTATCGGCAGCACACACCCCTATTCTATTCTATAATCCAGACCTTGGGTCTCCACCAGGCAGTGGGCATCATTACATGGGCCTTGTCCATCTTGCAAAATACTGTGTCCATTGGAGAGAGAGAGGAAGGAAGGAAGGAAGGAAGTGAACTGGGCTAGAGGGGACTTTGGCCTAGACAGTCTGTCTGTGAATCAGATGGCAGAGTGGGTAGGCTCAGAGTTGGCCTCCCATACAGATCAGAAGGAAGGTTTCAGGCAAGCACAGTGCTGGAGTGAGGGCCTAGGAAATGAGTCCAGCCTTTGCTAGAAAAGGAAGGGAAAAGGGAAGTATCAGGGCCGTGGGAGGTAGTAGATGGGGAGGTGAAACTAATATCATCAGCACCAGTAGTCACTGCTAGAGCTCCCATGGCCTTAAACAAAATGCTTCAAGGTCCCTTCCTAGGCCTCTACTGAGAGAGCGAATAGGGAGTCTTCAAGGAAGGAGCAGAGGATCTACAAGAGGATGGGAGAAGAATCTAGGATGGGATTCAAATGGAACCTTCTAGTGTATAAACTCAGGCAAACCTCTTAACTTCTGAGCTTCAATTTCCTCATCTATCAAATAGACAGGATGCTGCCCACTTTCCATGAATATTCACATGCCTGCACAGAACTTTCCTTAAAGGGGGAGAACATACCTAAGGCCAACTCTGAGCCTACTAGCTGTCATTTATTGAAGCTTACAAGGCCTCAAGTAATAGTGATAGTGGATTATTGCTCTACTTTTCTTTTTTTGGTGGTCTGGGGATTGAATCCAGGGGCACTTTACCATTGTGCTACATCCCTAGTATTTTTACATTTTTGTTTTGAGACAGGGTGTCCCTAAGTTGCAGAGGCTGGTCTTGAAGTTGCAATCCTCCTGCCTCAGACTTCTGAGTCATTGAAATGACAGTTGTGTCCCACAGGCCAGCTCACTCGACTCCAAACTACAGCTTTTGAAGGTTGCTAAGTCACTTTGCAGATGACAAAATTCCAAAAGATGCGGATCTTGGAAACTGGCAGCATCAAGTTTTGAAGCCATCTCTGACTTCAGAGCCTCTGAATCACTTTGCACCATGGAGCCTCCTGGCTTTGGCCTCTGTGCCCCCTGCTCAGTTCTCTCAGCCCTTCCAGTCTGGGCTGAGTCCAGATCCACAGCAGGGCTGGGGGCAGGGCAGCCCAGGTCCAGCAGGGATGGCCCCTGGAGTCTTGTTCCTGCTAGGTGAGGGTCTGGCGTCCAGCCTGATGAGTCTGCAGCCCCGCCATGCCATTAGCGGGCAGCCAGAGGGGGTGTCTGCAAGCACCAATGCTGGGGTTCCCGTGGCCGCTCGTCTATTAGTAGCTGGTGGCTTCACAGTGATTTATTGGGGCTTCTTCATTTCCCCTTGGTCTGCTATAAACATATTTATACCACCAGAGTGACCGATAAATTTCCCTTATGAATCCCGTTATCTCCCCTATTAACCATCCGTCACCTTTTATGCGGCCACAATGGGCCAGGCCAGGGCATCAGGGCTGGGTGGGAGGCCTGCGGCCCACAGCCCCTGAGCCCAGTGAACTCTTCACCTCCCCCTCTGCTCCCCAGACAGGGTAGCCGCTACTACTTCTGAGCTGCCTCTAGGATAAGAACAGACTGGACCTAGGGCAGGGTGGGGGTTGGGGTTTGAAATGTGACTTTTTCCAGGGTCTCCTAATGGGAAGTACCTCTTGGGGCTAACTTGAGTCTCTCCTACTGTAGCTCTGGCTTCCCCTCTTTTAAGTGCACAGGATCGTCCTGAAGCTCCATTGCTTTCCTTCCTCTGCTTGCCCTCAGCTCTCAACTTCAGCTGCCTCTAAGTGCAGCTGAAAGCTAAGACAACTCAGTGTGACACCAGAGGGCCCTGATGCCTGCTGGCATTTGTCGAGTACCTCCTCTGTGCCAGTCACTTCCATGCCTCACTATGTATCTTCACCAAAATCCTGGAGACAGGCATTGATAGCCCTATTTTCCAGATAGGGATAAGGAAATAAGGTTCAGAGACATTCAATGAAAAGCCCAAAGTCACCGAGCTAATCACCCAGCCACAGAGCTGTGATTTGGGGCTTTTCTGGCCCTAAATATGGTGCTTTCAATCCCTGCAATATACAGTTCTTCAGATGCGCTGGGCTTGAGAGACTAATCCAAAAAAGGCTTCCAGTAGAGAGTATAGGGAGTAGGACAAGTCAAGGGAGGGGGGTGATGGCACACACCTGTAATCCCAGTTACTCAGGAGGCTGAGGCAGGAGGATTGCAAGTTCAAGGCCAACTTCAGCAACTCAGTGAGATCCTGTCTCAAAATTAAAAATTGTGAACTTTGAGTAAAATTGAGTAAATTGGAGATTTACTCAATGGTAAAGTGCCTCTAGATTTAATTCTCAGTATAAAAGGAAGGAAGGAAGGAAGGAAGGAAGGAAAAACCAGAGTAGGACAGCAGGATGCCAGTAGGATGGGATGGGGGTGTGAATGGGGCCTCCCTGAAAGGCTGGTAGAGAGAAGGGGGCAGGGCTGTGGAATGAGGAGTGGCCTTTTCAGTTGGGGAAACTTGGACACTTGTTAAGTCAAGCCCAAGCTGCTGAGGGTAGGGGTCAGTTCTCTCTCTCTCTCTCTCTCCTCTCATTCAATCAACAATAATTATTGAGATGGGGCCAGGTCTCTAAGATCTCCAAGGTGCCTGTCCTGTCACATCTGGCAGGACAAGGGGCCTGGTGCATGGCTCAAGCCTGGGTAGCAAAACAGAGCCTGGCTTAGACCTCCTTGACTGCGTGCCTGGGGTAATGCCCCACTTGTCTGAGGCCTCAGCCTGCTGGAGGCATGGAGGGTTCTGCCTTTTGAGTACCTGATAATCCCTGTTTCCTTGGGAGGTGTGTGTGTGTGTGTGTGTGTGTGTGTGTGTGTGTGTGTGTGTAAACTTGGGAGTCCTGTCTCCCCCACTTTCACCCACTTTTGAGCTACTGAGAGCTCCTCCAGGATTCAGATGACCCACACTCTCAGGAGGAGAAGAATCTCAAGATCAAGGTCTATTTCTAAACCCTGGCTTTGCTTCAGTAGCTCCTGGATGACAGGCATAGATGGGTGTTTTTGTTCCCACTTTACAGATGAGAAAACCTAGGTCCAGAGAGGGAGGGTATCTGAGCAAGAATGGAGTTCTGGGTTAAGGTATGTGTGACTGGGAGGGGACTCAGCTGCTTGAGAACCAAGAGTTAATAGGAAGGGGCCAAGAAGGGCAGAGAGTATAATCCACTGAGTCTGGGGTGGCCACCACTGGGGGTGGGGGCTCAGCTCTCTGATGAATGTTTAATTACTCCTGTCCCCAGCAATAGCATCCTGGGTGGTCTGTTGGTGACTGAGGCTCAGAAAATTATGGATGGGCTCAGCATCTAAAGGAATAGATTCTCCTCTAACAAAAGGATGTGGGGTCGTTCAGGCCATTCCCCTGCCTTCCAAGGTCCAAAAGGAAGAGCTGTTGGGGGATGGTTACAAGATCTAGTCCATCTAGGTCTGGCTCCCCACACCCCAACACCTGGGGAAGATAAGCCCTGCTGAGAGGAAGGAGTCCCGGATTCAGTCCCTACTTGGCCACTGAACTGCTGCGCAACTGAAGTGTGTCTGGCCTGTTTGGGGCCTTGTCCCTTAGAAAACCTCCTGTTCAGACTCCAGTTTCCATGCTACCATATACACGGGGAGACCCAGAGCTTCCCAAGGGGGAGCAGGCAGGGACAGGCAGGCACCACAGCCAGCCAGAAGCCCGGACACCTCTCCAGCAGTGCTTCAGGCCTTGCTTTGCTTCCTCTGTTGGCTGATCTCACCTGCTCCTTCCCTTCTCCTCCATTCACTTGTCTTTTCTATGCCACCATCTGTCTGTCTGTCTATCTGCCTTTGTCTCTGGTCTGGCAACCCCTTCCCCCTCCCCCATGTCCTCTCTCCTCTACAAGGTTGGGCTCCCTTGGAGGGGGTAGGGCCTCCAGTGCTAAGAGAAAGCTGTGTGCTCCCTCCCTCTCCCTTCCCGCCCCCTCCTGCCCTCTCCTTCTCCCACACTCACACACACACTCTCTCTCTCAGTCATTTTCAATGTCATAAATTTCCGCGTCTCTCTCCTCCACTCGGCTATTACCTGCGCCTCCGTCACCGGGCAGCGCTCTCGCTCCCAGATGGGCTAGGCCATCTCCGCTCTGCAAATGACTCAGGGAGAGAGAGGCAGGGAAGGAGGGAGAGAAAGGAGCAGAGAGACAGAGAGAGATCGGGAGAAAAGGTGGGCAAGTAGGCAGAGACTGAAGCAGAGAGGGAGAGGGAAGCCCCAGGAGGGCCCAGCCCCTTCTTTCCTACTCCAAATACAAAAATCACTGCCAACTGGAACCTTGCCTGGCACCTGGCAGGATAGGTGAGGTGTACTGAGCCTGGGGGTGGGGTCAGATCACCAGCTTCTTCTGACTCCCCTCTGTCTCTCCTTTGGCTTCTGCCTCTGTATGGGGACAGAGCTGGTGGCCTGACTCCACCCGCACCCAGTGTGGGCCCTGCTGCAGTCCTTCCTCTCTGCTCCCACGTGTCAGCACTGTGCTGGTGGAGGGCATAGTGGCACTCAATTCTTTTAGGAGGTAGACCCTCTGCAGAACAAGATGATGGGATCTGGAAGGGACACAGGGTTCCCACAGTTGGGAGTGAGGCTGTCATGGGAACTATGGCTCTTCCTTCAGAATTGGGGCTCTGGGTACCTAGGCTCTCTCCTTGGACTGGGGGTTCTCACCACCGTTTGTACTGACCTCCTTCACTGTCTCTGTGGGATCCATCCCCCCAGCTTCCTCAGGGATGGTTTCTCTGGCTGAGACCTGGGCTGGGAAGTCACCCATCTTGGGAAGGGACAATTCCAGGTAATCCTGGAAAAGAGAGCAGAGGAAGAGGATAGTCCAGGGCTTCTCAGCTTCTGTTCTCAACACCTATAATTGTCCTTCCAAGCCCCACTCCAGCTGAGTGACCACGGGAAAATGCAAATATGATCATGTCAGTCTCTGGCTTAAACCCTCCAAGATTCCACATCCCACTGAAAGCAAAACCTAAGTCTCTTCTGGATATACCCTCCCCTCTGTCTCTCCTTTGGCTTCTGCCTCCTGAACATGCCCAGGGCCTTTGCATTCTGTTTTCTTTCTACAGGGATGGCTCTTCCTCCCCAGCCCAAATGTCATTGTGCAGAGGAGCTGACCCCGATCATCTCATCAAATGACAGGTCACCCCACGACTCTCCCGCATGGTCTTCTGAATGATTGTTTTGTGGCACTTTTACACTTTATTACTTGTTTCCTTAGCTCTTTACTTGTTTACTGTCAGACTTCTCTGATGGATTGTTCTTTCCCTGAAGTTAGGAGCCATGTTCATCCTGTTCATCAGAGACAGTACCTGTACCATCAAAAAAATTTAGGAGGGCTGGGGCTGTAGCTCATTGGTAGAGAGCCCGCCTCACACATGTGAGGCACTGGGTTCGATCCTCAGCACCACATAAAAATAAATAAAGATACTGTGTGTCCATCTACAACTAATTTTTCTTTTAATTTTAGGAGGTATTTGTGAAATGAGCAAATGATTTGGATGTGAGTATATCCTCCTCATCTTGGTTGGATGGGGACTGACGTTGAGATGGATGTTGAGCTAAGCTGATGGTCTCTGGGTTTCTGTCCATCTGGGGAACTTGCTGAAATCTCTGTGTGATGGATCCTATTCCAACAGAGAGAGGTATCTTATCCTGATGCTGGGAATGAACAGGGTTAGGCCTCATAAAAAAAGAGTTATCCTCTGCTGAGGCCCACACACTGGACTCTCTCCATCTCTGGGTAAGCATAACATACACTCTCATAGATACATACTCACAAACAGTCACATATGTTGACTCACTCAGGCACACTCATTCCCATGCAGAGTGGTCTAAGATAAGCCACACTCATGCATATATGCAAACTAACTTTTCACATTAAGACACACAAAGGGACAGATCCAGTTACCCACTTTCCTGTGCATGCCAGACACAACCCACAGGTGTATTTGTGAACAGGCAAGCGCGCGCGCACACACACACACACACACACACTCCTACAAATATGTACTTACATGTGCAGACATAGTCATCAAAACTAATAAATGTAAACAAATTTTAATGGAGAAGACACCTATTCACTTGCTTACTTGATCATGAGTCCATTCCATGGAGTAACACCCTGGGCTCTGAGCTCCCCTCTGGCATTGAGGGATCCACACTCTATGGCCTCATCAGTGCACATGTGTGCACACGCACACACATGCATGCATGCACACACACACACACATACCCGGCTCTGCTATCCCAGCCCTCTCAGGCTTGTGAGAGTCTCAGGCTTCCACAGGCTTACTATGTGGCCAGAGGCAGATCTCAGCTAGAAGCGGGGTCAGGGCTTGGTCTATGGACAAGGTCAAGGTTCTCTGGGTGGCTCATCCAAGACCAAGGTCAAAAGTCAGCCAGGGAGTGAGATTTTCTTGATGCCCTATGACTTTGCTCACAAGTATACCCGCCCTCAAATGTGCCATCCCAAGGAGCTGCTGGCAGGGCCAAGACTCAGGGTCCTCATAGTGAGCCTTTGCAGCTGGTGGAAGGGGGGGGGCAGGTGGGGGCCGGGCCTGGGCAGATAGCTGTGAGGTACGTTTCCATCTCCGCGGGTCGGGCGGGCGAAGCCATTTCCAATCTGCTCTCTATCATTTTCAATATCATTAATCCCAGACACTCTATTTTCCATGCCTGCGCAGCCAGGCCCCCGAGTGTGCGCCGTGTAAAGTGACACATATTCATCACCGGCTCGTGGCGCCGGCGCCGACGCTGATACAATATTAGTGTTGCCCCCCCGCTTGGGGCCCGCTCCGCCCGGCTCCCCGATGGCACGAATCCATCACCTGGAGCCCGTGTCACTTTCCCCAGCAGCCACATTTGTTTGGGCACTTAGGAGGTAATTGTGGCACATTAGCCAGGGTGGGGAAGGGCGCTGGGCCCCTGCAAGGAAGGGAAGGCCAAAGTATCATCTTTCACAGCCCCAAACCATCCTGGCCTGGGCCAGGTCCTGGGGTTCTAGGAACCTGGATTCTGTCTCAGCCCCCCCCCCCCAGGTCGGTCTAAGGAAGAACCCCATGAAGAAGAGGCCAACTCTGAGTCCTTTAGGAAGTTCCAGAAGTGTTCCCAGCTCTCTGAGAGCTCCAACAGGGGACCCAAGTTTAGAGATGATAGCTTCAAAACCTTGCCAACCAGCCCCTATCCCAGCACCAAAATGCAGGTTTCAGTGGGGCCACACTGACTCCACTTCAAGTTCCGAAAGGAGAGGATATGGGAACGAGGCAGGAGAGAAGAGACACTGCCCAATCCTTGGAAGCCCAACTCTGAGAGAAAACCTGGTTCTGCTCCTGACGCCTGGGTCTGAGAGGCCAGATTTCTATTCTGAGAGGGGTATCATGGCCCAGCTCTCAGAAATTCCAGGTGGTGGTGGATGTCACCTTGTCTGACCACTAGAGGTGGCCCTAGTCAGTGTTCTTTTGGGAAGGCTGCCTGGAGGCAGTGAGCTAGACATAGGGACAGCTTCTGGGTACAGAGAGGCCCAGAGTGGCTGCAGAGGAGGGAGGAGCAGCAGCCTGGGGTCATTGATCTGAACAGAGGCCAGACTCTGCAGGGCCATGGGTCCTCCCTCCCCAGTCCTCAGGGCTAACACCCATTAACCTCGTCAGCAGACAAATTGCCCGTCTTGTCAAATTCCCATTTAAAATGCAAACTCGATTTGACAGAGTAAACTGAGCGGAGGTGGGAGCGGATAATCCAGTGGAGGCTCATTAGCAAGGCCCAATGAGAGGGTCCTGCTGGGATGGCCTAATGAACCTGCCATGATGAACCTCCCAGCCTGTTAACACCCACCACCCGCTCAATACCCTGCCTTGCCTGCCCTACTGCCACCCCCCTAAGAAGTCTGGGGATCTCAGGTGCCTACCAACTACCACCTCTAGGACAATACATAGCTGGGACCCTGTCCTTGTTTCCCTGCCTGTCCACTCAGTGGCTTTACACAGCAAGGACAGCAGCCATCCCTTTCCTGATCTCCATCAGGCTCCTCTAGGTATATGGTCCTCCAGGGCCCTGATTGTAGGGGTCCTGTGAGTTGGAATTATTAACTCATCTACTACTGAGGAACTTGGAAACTCAGGGAGGTTTCCTGGCTAGAAAGCAGCAGAGAGTGGCTTGAACCCAAATCTATCAAACTCCAACAGTCACGTTTATAATCACTGTTCCACTCTGCCTTCCTGATCGCAAATGGTTGTCCTTTCTCTGCTTCCCTGGTTTCAATGTTGTCACTAGCTGTGTGGAGCTAGGAAAAGTGACTTCTCTTTGAGTCTCATTTGTCCCATCTGTTAAAAATGATGAACAAGTCAGTGCAGTGGCACATGGCTTGGGAGGTTGAAGTAGGAAGATCTCAAATTCAAGGACAAGCTGGGTAACTTAGTGAGACCCTGTCTCAAAATAAAAAGTAGAAAGGGTATGAGCTCAATGGTAGAGTTCCATTCCCACTACCAAGGGGGTGGGGTTTAAAAAAAAAGGATGAATAACAGCTGCCCAATCCAAGGGTTAGTGTACAGAGAATTTTAGTAAGGAATAGTAATAACCACCCTGGTAACATCTGCAGACAACTTAGCCTGAGATGGGATAGATAGGGGCAGGTGTGAAGGGGAGGGAAAGAAGCCTATTTTCCAAGAATGCAGTTCAGGAATAGATCAAAGGCCTTTATTGTCCTCTAGAACCTGGGCACCCCTGGATTCACACCTCCTCCTACCATCTCAGCTCCATGCCTAGGCCACTGTAATAGGAAAGAAGCCCATGGTCTCTCTCAGAGCCTGGAGTAGGCTGTCAGGCGTCCCACTCCCAGGGGAAGGGAGTGGGCAGGACCTTCACCTCCTGAGGCAGGTGAAGGTCCTGCCCACCTGGTCCAGCTCCCTCCTTCTTGCCCTGAACTGCAGCCAGGCTGTTGCTCTCTCTTCCTAATAACTGGGATAATGGACAATTAAGAGGCGCAGGAGGTTGGGGAACCGGCTCAGTGGTAGAGAACTTGCCTAGCATGCATAAGGCTCTGGGTTCAATCCCGAGTATTGTAAAAAAAAAAAAAAAAGAAAGAAAGAAAGAAAAGAAAAAGAAAACTGAGGCCCAGGAGGTTAGCCTCTGAGAGTTAATGGATTGTTGAGTTGTTGTCCCAACTTACCTCCCCAGGGTACATTAGCTCCGCTGCCTGAGAGGTACACGCAGAGCCTACAAGCTGAAGCTGCATGTGTCCCTGCTGCCACATGGGGCACTGTGCTGCCTGGCAGAGCTGGGATCTGGTGCTGGGTGACCTTGTATGGGTGTCCTCTCTGGGTCTCATTGCCTGCAGGCATCACAGAAAGAGCCTCCTTGCCTCCAGTCTCTGCCGGTCCTCCCCCACTGGTCCTTTACAAGCACCAAAGTCATTGCTCTGTACCCATCAATTTCCTACCTTCCAAGTGTATGAAATCCAAATCTCTCAGCTGGCATTCAAGGCTCCCCACAATCTGGCCTCAGTTACCTTCCAGTCTCGGAGGGCACAGAGTTTACTGAACCTTCTTAATTCTCTGCCTTTGCTAGCCTGAGTAACTCTTGTCTAGCACCCCCTCTAGACTCATCACCCCAAGGCGTGGGATACTCTTCCTCTTGGGCCCCCCTCTGCCCCCTGCTCACCTGCTTCTAGCAGTAAAATGGGAGGCACTCCTGTGAGACCCTGTCTGGGGGAAGTTACAGAGGAGGCACAGCAGAGGGGTGGGTGGTGTTCTCAGCCTCTCTCCAGTTGTCTGCCAAGCCGTCCTCTGAGGCTGGCCTAATTCCCTTCAGAGCCAGGCTCCCATCTTCAGGGTGGTGCTTAGGGAGCTGAGAGCCCAACGCTAATGCCTAAGAAAGTCGTGGGTGGATTAGAAAGCGAGAGAGATTAGGGCCAGAGCTGGTGGCTGATGCAGGAGCAGAGCCCCTCCTCCTGAGGAAGAGGAGGCTAATCCTGCTTAGCAACTGAGGAGACAGCAGTGCTGAGGGGAGCCTTCTTCCATCCATTCGGGCTGCCTAAGCTCAGCAGGAGCAGTAGGAGGAAGATCCATCCACCTACTCTGTTCTCTGCATGTTTGGGTCCCCTGGTGTCTCCCTAAAACATCCTGCTCTGCCTTGTCTCCCACATTGCACCAGCCCTCTATGCAACCCCCAGACTTCTCATCCTACTGTACTTACTCAAACTGTCCTATTTAGCGCCCCCCCCCACTTTGATAACAACATCTTCATGCACTGAGTTGTCCCCTAGGGCTCGATCTATCCATGCTGCCTAGAAAGTCTAGTGGATGCTCTCATGATGCCCAGATGGCCCTTAGGGGCTTAGATACTCATTCTTGCAGCTTCTGGGAGTGTTCACTGCTGACCACTCACAGGTCAGTTCCTCCCTGGGGAACTGTCCTTAGTAGTTTCACTCAAGGTTACAGTCCCTCCTTGGGAGCAGTCCACAGGTGACTGTTCAAAGCCAAAGTATAGTTCTGGCTCCCTTACCTAAATCAGAATTGGGACAACTTTGAAAGGCCCTACCAGTGCTGGATTGAGATGTGGGGGGTGGCCCAGGCTGGTTGTGACTGCATCACAGCTCCACATTGCCCTCTGGCCAGTTTTGTGTCCTCACAGCCTCACAGATGATTGTTCCTCAGAGCATTTTCCATAAACCCCTTGAATACCCCCTTCCCAATCTCTGCAAAAATCTTACCCTTCACTTTCTTCTTTAAGTCCCACTTTGGAGTATGGAAGATTAGTTGGGTCTGTGAAGGGCCTAGATTCAGGAGTTCCTGACCTAGATGCTGGGTGAGGACCAGCAGTCCTTCCCCTGAGGATTGACGGTTGGTTCCTTTGGTTTCAATGGCATAGGCAGCCATGTGGACTGAGGGAGTGGAGAGGTCCTACCCTGGAGACCCAGTGTGAGATCATAGCCTGAAATGGGAGGCAGACTCTGTCTGGGTGACTGATTGAAGAAAGAGAAACATCAAGCTCTGGTCTGAGAACTCAGTCTGAGAGTGTAGAGAGACACACCTTGGGAGTCTGAGTGGAGAGAGGAATTCTGATTTGGGGACCAATTCTGAGTGGAAGAAAGGATCCTACATAGAACTGCATCTGAGAGGCAGACTTCTCTAGACCAGGAGAAGAGGCAGGCCTGAACCAAACTGCCTGCTTGCCTGAGCTCCTCCTCCTCACCTACCCGGACTCTTCTCCCCCGGTGTGGCTTGATCTCCAAGGGTTCAGCCACTGTGCTGCTTGAATGTGAGAGAACTGGAATTCTAAGTTAATGGTAAATGTGTGTGAGAGAATAATAGGGAGACCCCCCACCCCGCCAGCTAGCTCCTTAGCCCCATTAAGCTTGATGCTCAGTGGAAACAGAGAACATCCTGGGTGCAGGGCATCTGAGAAATTCTGGTCCTAGAGTAACTAGGGGGCAGAGGCAGGGAACTGGATGGGTTGACCTTTGAGAGTCAGTTTGGGATATGGGGGTCAGTTGAGGGGGACCACTCCCACTCTGCTTCCTACCTTTGATGGACAAATGCTAATGACATTACCAGCGATTGACCAGAAACAAATAAATAATTCAGTCTGGCCTGAAAATGGGAGAAAAGTACTTAAATGCTATTGACAAGCCAGTCCCTGGCCTCATTACCCATGCAGACTCAGGCCTCCACATCGACCATGCCCCCCCCTCATTCCTCCAAACCCCACTGTGGGCAGCCTCAGGCTTCCTCCCACCTACCTGGCCCAGGTTGAGTATGTGGAGGGTGACCTGAGGAGACCAGGCAGAGGGTGGAGGGTAGAGGCTTGTGGCTCAGGTCAGAGGAACCGCCAGAAAGGATAGTGGTCTCTCAAATTCTTCCCGTTCCCCACACAGGGGAACTGTGGGGCCTCTGTTGACAGGAAGGATGTAGGTGCCTATGCGGGAGGGGACACAGACATGCACTCACATATGTACATTCACAGCGAGCCCACAGCTGCTGCATCCTCTTCCAGAACACAAGAAGATTGGTGACCCCCCAGGGCGGCTGTCAGTCACCATGCTCTTGGGGAATACAAACTCATTAAATGTTTCCCTGCCTTGTCACAGGGGCCTGAGTCCCAGAGTCAGGCCTGAGGTGGAGGAGGAGGAGAAGAAAACAAATGTGCAGATGATCCTTTAAAAGCACATCCTGTAGTTCTGACCCCAGAGAAGAGACAGGGGATTATAGAGGGTGGGGATTACCCAGGGAAGGCCCCGCTAGGGGTTCCTGGGGAATTGACATTTCTAGCCCCCATGGCATGCGCGCTCTCGCGCGTGTCACACACACACTCACCCTAGTAGCAACTCTGCAGAACTAAACCTTTTGATTTTCTGTAAGTCTCCCTCTCTTCCTTAGCTTCCTGAGCCTGCCTACCCTTCAGGCTGCCTCCTTTGGCATCATTTCGCCTCTTCTGCAAAATTGAAGAGTCCACCATTTCTGTGGTCTCTTTCCTGCTGCCAATACATTTATGCCAGATCCATGGAGTCTTCCACCACAGGGTTGACAGAAATCAGCAACACTCACTGGTCAGAGACACTCCAACCCAAGGCCTAGGTCCTGAACAAGGACTCAGTGAGTAAAATTTGGGAGGAAGAACTGTGACCCAGGCCTGGGAGGTGCAAGATGTCCAGGGGGTATGAAGGGCTCCACTGAAGCTTAAGCCCAGGAAATAGTTCTGAAAGGGACTCATCTTCTTTGTGAGCCATATAATCTACTCTCTGGGTACTGGCAGAGGTCTGGTAGGACCCCCTTGCCTATCTCTGGTAGCCAGACTTATCTTCTCACTCTTTCTGGGACCAGACTCTACATCCTGCAGCCTGTAGGCTTCTAACTGGGGTCTCTAGGTCTCATCTCCCTCCTGGTCTCCTTCCTGCTACCTTTCAGAATTCTGCTCCTCACCTCCGAGTTTCCCTGGACCAGCCCCTCCCTTCCACTTCTGCCTCTCCACAGAGATCCAAGGGCTCCTGGGCTCTCCCATGCACAGTACCCCCAGCCCCACCTGCCTCTGGAGTGGGCTGAAAACTCCACTGTCCTGATTGTCATCCATAAGGCCCTTCTTCCTCCTGCTTCTTCCCACTGATGTGTCCCACAGGGAGTCATTTATCCAGATCGACTGGTTTTCCTCAGTGCAAACATTCACAGGAGCATTAACAAGTCTAAAACCCAATTAGCCTTCAATTACTCAGGCCTTAGCCAGATTTTCTGTGGTGGGGACAGGGGTGAGGAATGTGTTTGGCTCTGCCTGAATAGAGCCTCCCCCCCTTTAGGCCAACCTCCTGTCCTGTCCTAGCCAGTCTGCTCCCCCAAGGCTCTCCCTCCTGCCTTACCCAAGTGCTCACCACCCAAGCCCCCTCATCTCTTAAAAAAATTGTTCTTAAATACATAACCAATACATAGTTAAAAGGATTTGTAAAAAACAATGCAGGGCTGGGGCTGTAGCTTACTGGCAGAGCGCTTGCCTAGCATGTGTAAGGCACTGGGTTTGATCCTCAGCACCACATAAAAATAAACAAAATAAAGGCATTCTGTCCATCTACAACTCCAAAAACAACAACAAAACCTCAATAATGTAGCTGGGCCTGGAGGCACATGCCTGTAATCCCAGCAACTCAGAGACTGAGGCAGGAGAATCACCAGTTGGAGGCCAGCTTGAGCAATTTAGGGAGACCCTGTCTCAAAATAAAATTTAAAAAGGGCTGGAGATATAGCTCAGTGGTGGTAATCCCTGGGTTCCATCCCCAGCTCAAACAAACAAGCAAACCAAACCATAATGCAAAAGGAATACAAAGTGAAAAAGTGAAATCCCCTGCAACTGGCTGTCCTGTAGGACACATGGCCATTTGGAGGTTCTTTTTCTTCCCCACATTCGATTTTATCCATACACCACCCCCTACATAGTTTTAAGTAGTTTTGAAAATGTTTTCAAATTGAGGCCATACTCTCCATATTATTTCATGACCTACCCTATTCGCTGGCCAATGACATCTTATTCGATTTGCACTTTTCCTCATCTGCCTTCCCTCTTCCCCTTTCCTTTACTTCCTCTGCCCGTTCTCTCCTTCCCCATTCCCATTCCTCCCACCTTGCCCCCACTTCAGCTTCTCTTTCTTAACCTCCTTCTCCCCTTCTGCACCTCTTTCTACATCGCCTCTTCCTTCCCCTTCCCTGTCCCCCTTTTTCCCTCCTCCCTGGGTACTGCAGCCCTGGGGGAGGGGCAGCCAGTGCAGCTATTAGCTCTGCCCCCCTAATACTCTGAGTCCCACTCCCTCTTAACACCTCCCTGAGCCTGGGCCTCTAAGCCCCATCTCCCTCTCGTCTCCCTCTAATCACTAAGGCTTATTTCTGATTTCCTGAAGTGACAAGGAGCTGGGTTTGAGGGGAGGGAGGGCTGTCAGCCAGCATCTCCCAGGATTGAGGGAGGAAAGGATGCAAGGAGGGAGGCCTGGCTAATGGGATGTAGCAGGAAAGGCTCCAGGGAGGCCCTCCTACTCTGAACAGGTATCCCCAATTCTCTAGCCCCTTCTGCCTTTGCTTACCGTGTGTACACTTCCCCCCTCAGGGTGTTCTTTCAGGCTATATTCTATTTTCTCTAGTTTCTTCTGTAAAAAGGAAAGCGTCCTCACCACCTTTACTCAAGGCAACTGCTGTGGGCAGAGCCTGAGTCCTCTTAACAGTCTCCCTTCTCCTGCTATCACTCTGCCAGGAGAATGCCAGGTCCTCTAATACTCGCCCCAATCTCTCTCTGCCCCACCTCTTTGATCTTGGAGGTGGGAAAAGTCTCCAGGCTGCAAAGGCCTTGTCTTCCACTTCCCACCTTGTGGAAATCCAGGGTTCCCCTCCCCTGTTCCAAATCCATCCCTCCAAA